ATTGCTCTGTTATTGTATATCAATAACATGCTTATTATTGGAAAAAATATTTCCAAACTTGACAAGTTAAAGAAGCAAGTAGGCGAATCATTTGCTATGAAGGACTTAGGAGCTGCTAAAGAGATTATTGGTATAAGAATTTTACGTGATAGAAGGGAGAAGAGATTGTGGTTGTCACAAGAACATTACATTGAGAAGGTGTTGTAGAGATTCTAGATGGAAAAGGCAAAGAGGGTGAGCGCTCTTCTTGCAACTTATTTTAAGTTGAGTTCTAAATAGAGTCTATCAAATGAAGCTGAGAAATTAGACATGCAATGAGTTCCTTATGCATTTGTGGTAGGTAGTCTGATATATGCAATGATGTGTACATGACCCGATATAGAACATTTGTTGATATAATCAGTAGATTTATGTCAAACCCAGGTAAGAGCTTGAAATGTTGTGAAGTGGATTTTGAGGTATCTTCGTGGTACTGTTGACATGAGACTTTGTTTTGGTAGTGATAAGTCTACTTTAGTAGAGTTCTCAGACTCAAATATGGCTAGAAACATTGATTCCTAGAGGTCTACTATGGACTATATGATTAAATTTGTAGGGGAAGTTGTGGCTTGACAATCTAAGTTGCAGAAGTCTGTAGCTTTGTCAACTACAGAGGTAGAATTTATTGTCATGACTGAAGCATACAAGGAGTTGCTATAGGTGAAGAAATTCTTGCAAAAGCTTGCTTTTGTTCAAGAAAGATATTATTTGTGAATAATTAAAGTGCAATTCATCTTCGTAAGAATCCAACTTTTCATTCTAAGTCCAATATATTGATGTGAGGTATCATTGGATACAAGATGCTTTGGATGCTAAGTTGTTAGAGTTAGCCAAAGTTCATACAGATGATAATGGTGCTGATATAATGACTAAGGTGTTACCAAAAGGAAAGCTTGAAGCTTGTTATGAGATGATAAGTCTATAATTAGGCCATATTTTACAGCCCATATATTCATATTTGACATTTATTTCATTTGAGTTTTACACTAATTTATATATTAATTGTGCAATTTGGTATAAAGAGGCCGTAAGTGGATGTTGGGTGCATTTTGGACCCAAATTGATGGAAGATTAGAGCTTCGCAACAGTCAGTACGCCTAGACCCTTTCAACAAGTACGAGGGTGCTGCGAGCCCATACACGGTCGTGCTTAAGGCCTTGCACGACTGTATTCATCTGCGGGAAGCCCAATTATGAAGAGTCTTTAGGGTTTTTAAACCCTATTAAAAAGGAAGACCTCAGGCATTGAAAGGACACCGTTGGACATCTAGTCTTTTGCTTTCAGATACACTTCTTATCTCCTTTCTCTTGCATGGGATCTGTGGCACATGCTTGGCGAGACTTGGAGCTTCAAGTGACCGTGCTTGAAGACTGAAAACTCATCTCATTCTAGTTTACTTTTCTTTATGGCTTTGTTTATGATTGTTTTAGTTCTTTTCTTTAGTGTGAGTAACTAAGTCCATAGCTAGGGCTATGAGAACTATTGTTCATGAATTTATGAGATTTTAATGTTTAAATCTAAATTTGATTTCCGTTCTGTGATTAGATTTTATCTTATTGCGCTTCTCTCTTAATCCTAATTAATTGTATCGTCAGGCAACCGTACTTCTATTAATTAATAGATCTATAGGATAAAACGATACAAAGGATTAGGTGGACCAAACCAATCTTTCTCTTTTAATCGTTATTAAATTAACAAGTTCATAGGTTCCTTAAGCTTTCTTAAATTGATGTCTTGCATAACCATTGAGAATGTTAATTTAGAGAAAAGAATATTAATATTGCATGACCATTGGATATTAATAGTATTTGTATAGATGATTGGTAATCACAAGGAAATTGGATTTAGAGTTAAACAGAAAAATAACATAAAGGATTAAATGAGGAAACTCATATGTCCTAGGTTCCTCTTCGATAAGTTTAACCAAGACGGCAACGATGCCAAAAACTTGTTCGGAGGGCAAATGTACCCATCGAGAAGTAATAAAGGGTTCTTAAATTAAGTTCTCGAAATATTGTCCCACAAGGATTATTTTTCAATTATTAAGAGTTTCCTAATTCAATTGTTTAAGCTTCAAAGATATAAGATTAATTAAAACAAGAATTTATAAAATTAATTATAAACTGAGAGTAATGACCATAAGGCTTATATCTAAATAAGTTATAAAAAAATGGTTAAACACCTTGAATATGTATGATAAAATTACATATTTCTATTTTATCAAAATATGTAATTGAAATAACACATACAAATTAGTGTTATGTACAGATCAAATAACAATAATGCAAAAAACTCTAGCAAGTAGGACTCTCTCTTAGAAAGTATGTAATATGAGTACTCTTCAACTCTAACAAAAAAAAAAAGATTAGGGTTTATGATTTAAGATTTTATTTATTTTAAAATTTAATTTTTAATATAATATAATATTATAATTTTGATATAAAATTATTTAATATATTATTTTATAAATTTTAAATAGGCCATTCTAATAGACCTAATTGACTTTTTCTTAAGTTCAAGCCTAACTTATTTAATTAATTAAACCTTTTAAAAAGTATAAATTAAGTTTATTACTTAAATAGGTTAAGTTATACTAAGCCTTAAAAAGGCTAAGTCGTAGGCTCTTGTCAAATATTCTGACTTATTTTTATCCCTAGGTATGAGAAAAGAGAAACTCTTTATAACAAAACATTGAGAGAGAAGAAAGAAAGAGAACCCTTGTTGTTTTCGCACATCACCTTAGCATTATTTTTTATATTACAATTGTAGCTTCATTATTTTTCAGAGTTAGCCACAATCTCCATAATTAATAACTTGATTTATTAGCATATACTTTAATAATGATCACTTACTCCTTAATTTTCTAATATATTCTCTAGTTATAATTGTATTATTTCTTGATGTCTAAATATATTTCTTACCGTTAATAATTTATACTTTGATGTCAAATTATTTTCTTTTATAGTCATTACCTTGTATTTTGATGCCAAAGCATATTTTTTTCTTTTACAATAATTACTTTATGCTTTAAAGTCAAAGCATATTTCAAAGTTCAAATCATTGCACTTGGATGTTACTATTCACTTTTGCTTAAATGTCTAATTTCCTTCAACATTCGTAGCCATTTAGCTTGAGGAAATCAGCCTAAATTTAGGTCACTTTACTACTAAACTTATTTGCCAAATTGCTTAGCCTTAATTGTCCAAAATTAATCACTATTTTTTCTCCAAAATTGATGTTAATTTTATGTTAATTTCTCAAAAAATTTAAAATTAAAGCTTAATAAATTCAATAATCTTACTTTGAGTTTTTCTATGAATGAAATTTACTTATAAGGTCATTAATCTTTAAGAAATTCAAAAATTAAATTCTATTGGTTTAAGTTTTAAAACCAATTAATCCTTTACTAATTTAATTCTAAGAACAATTAAGAATATAATTCACATGTAAGCAAATGAAATTTCTTTCTTAACTATATTTATTTAAAAAAAGTTAGTGAATTTAATGACGTTATAAAAACTACAATATTTATTTAAAAAAAGTTAGTGAATTTAATGACGTTATAAAAACTACAACAAGAGTCATATAATTTATCAATATTATAATGCTTTGTATTATAGTTTATACCATCTTAATTTACTCTAACCATGATTTTTAGTAGTTGCATATTCTCTTCCATTCAATCTTATGCTACACACTTTGATGTTGTATAGAATTAACATGTAACTTTTTTAGTATTATAGTAATCAAAATATTTTATATTTATTGTATTTATCTTCATATTATCTTAAGAATCAAAATAATTTCAAAAATATTTATGGTTTTTCATAATCTCATTTTGATACAGCAAAACAAATATTTATATTTATATTTAAACAATAGTTTATATTACATATATTTAATGCAATCATATATTTATACTGATTTATGTAATTTTTATTTATTTATTTTATACTATATTAACTAGGACGTATTTTTTTTATAAAAGAAACTTAAAGAAAAAAGATGGTACCTCATTTTAAGATAAAGAAATAGTCAAAGTTAAAATAAATAACTTACATTTACTCCATTAGAGAAAACGAATGAAAACTTAAACTTATAAAATATGAAATATAAGACAATTTCTTACTAAGCATTTGAAAGGACTTATAACTAATTTATAAAATTAGCTTATTAAAATAAACCTTTTTAATTTATTTCACTAAAATTAATAATCAAATATATATAACATAAATTTTATTATAAAAATAGTTAATTAAATAATACATAATTAAATTATATATTCTAAATCATATTGTAATTTCTTATTTTAATATTTTAATCATAATAAATTAATTACTTAATCATAAATTATCATAATTACTCAATATTTCTCTTTAATATGTTATAGTTTTAAATTTATTATATTTTAAAATTATAATTTTATATTTAAAATTATTTAATTTAAATTTTTTTTTCTGGAAGCATAATTTATATCATAACTATATATTTATATATTTTTAACTTTACAACCTACTAGCTTAAATTTGGTGAACACAGTCAAATAATTATATAAAATTTTATTTTTAAAATATAATAAAAAATATCTAAATAAAAAAATAATGCATAAACTATTTTTTTTGTGGGTATGATTTATGTGTGAGTGCTAATTACTATTAAATAATCATAAAAATATTTTAAAAATAAATTTTATTCAAGTAAAGATGACAAAAATATTTTTAAAAAAAATTAAAATTCAATTAGAGTGAGTGGGATAAGTAATTTCATTTTAAATAAATTAATATAGTTATATATATATATATATATATATATATATATAGATTAATGTAATTTTTATTGTAATATTTTAAATTTATTAAATCACTTGAGATAAAATTATTTCCCTTGAAATATTTTCGACAAACACAAGTAAATTTGTTGAAATTAAAACATATTTAAAGGGATAAAAAAAAAAGAACTAAAGAATGGAGTGTCCGTTTATCTCCCTTTTGCATACGTGGCAGCCTTCAAGAACTATCTGTTTCTGGCACCAACCTTAGCTCAACTGGGGAACGCTTGTTTCCTTCAAAGTTTGAAACTTTGTGAAAAAATTGAGCTCTTTTGACAAAGATTTGCAGAACCCAGAAAGCCAAAAATGAAATTGTAGACACAGTTTTGTCTAACATGCAAGGGTTGGGTTCTCATGCACCTTTGGTTTCAAGGGGAAAGGCTCCTCCTTTGTTGCCACTGGTGCATGCATTACCATCTTCTACTTATTTATCCACAACCGCTATCTTATCCCCATGTGAGTGGCGTTTTCTTACACCCATTTAAAAATTTCTTATCTTTTACTTGGATTCAAGTTTCAAGCAGCTAGTTATGCTCTTAAGTCTTACCCTTTAGTTTAAAATTCATAGGGATTTTTTTTTCTGTTTTGGTTAGCACTAGTTGAGTGTGTGTTTTTATTGTTGACAATGAAAATATTATGCTCATATGGATATCCAATTCGGGTGGGCCAAATCCAAAATTTGTACCCTTATGTTGTTCGATTCGACGTAATTATGATAGCAAATTCAAGATTTTGTGCTGTGAATTGTTACTTATTCTACTTTGTTTTGAGGTTATGTTTTATCATATGGAGTTCGATGCTGTTCTAGTGATGAATCATATGTTTACTGTTAATTTTGATCTTTGACATCCTAATAAAATCTTATGTATGGATTTTATGCTCTCTCACATCTTAGCTTTTATATGAATTATGTTCTTTGTACTCATGATTGTTGTCTTAGTGAGTCACGTTGTGCCTAAATTATATATAGTAAGATGGAGACATAAATCAAGGTTGAGCTTAGCCCATGGCACTATTCGAGCTCAAGCATCCAATGTTAGTGGTGTTGGATCTGGAGATTATGGAAGATGGAGACATAAATCAAGGTTGAGCTTAGCCCATGGCACTATTCGAGCTCAAGCATCCAATGTTAGTGGTGTTGGATCTGGAGATTATGGAAGCAATGGTGAGAAAGACAGTCAGAACGTCTTTGAAGGAAATGCTATTAATGACAGTTCTTCTAAAGTGTGAGTTTTCTTTTGGTTGATTTTATTTAAAGTGCAAGAGATGGTCATTTAACACATGGTGGGATAAAGCTTGGTTGTTGTTGTTGGAAGAGATGACCATTTGGGAAAGGTGGCTACAGGAACATATTAGGATAAACTTTTGGTTTTAAAACTTTAAATGGCATAATTGTTGCTGACACTATTAATGTTGGTGTTAGAGTTGAGTCTTTTGATACACAAGGTAACCAGCCATAATCTTAATTCCTAACCTCAACGAGCTTTGTATCAATAAACCTGTTTCCTCTGCATTGTACTCTTTCTCCTTCCCAATTATTTGTTATCAATCTGAGCCTAATCTGGCTGGGAATTTTATATTGTTATTGTTCAAACAATATCAGATGATCCTCTTCTTGATATTGGATCAAATTAAAGCTTTGGTTTGTGCTAGTATTTTTCTATAAGGAAATTGTGTTCCTCCATGCAATATAACACTTATAATATGCCTCATATTGACTTAGCCTGATGAATCTATGCAAGTAAAAAATATATTCCTCTGGCAGATGAGAGCTCATAAAAGATACATACATACTAAATAAGGCAATAACTTGAAGAGAAAATTAGCACTAATCATGTCACCATTTGAAATAATAAAGGATTAGTTGTTTATGTCACACGTGGAATGCATCATTCAAAGAGAAAAAAGTCTTTAATTTATTCAGCAGATTGACATTGGACATTATGTCTATTGGGTGTTTTGTAGGTTGATTTAACATGTCGTAAATTCTTTTCAGTTGATTTCTTTAGTGTACTATACTCATTCATGGATCTATTAGAGTTCTAATGTAAATATATTTTATGATTTGGCAGTGTGAAACCTCCTAATCAGATCCCTTATCCTCTCTCTATAGCTTTTGTGCTGTTGGGATGTTCTCTTGTGTTTTCACTAATAGCCTTTGTGAAAGGGGGACCTTCATCAGTCCTAGCAGCAATTGCAAAATCAGGATTCACTGCTGCATTTACATTGATATTTGTTTCAGAGATTGGGGACAAGGTACTTTACTGTTATTACGAAGACTTTCTGTTGGATCCTTTTGTTTTCATTCTTAACTTTGTATGTGATCCTTGCTTTTAGTAAGTTATTGTTTCTTAGAGGCTCAGCATACTTATTTAGTCACAATAAGTTCCCACCCCATAGCTTAAGATGTTAAGTGGATTCCCAACAATGGTTTTTCTATTTCCAACACACGCCAAAGCACAGTTGATTATTCTGAAATTTGGATTTAGGCCAAACTTAGTCCCAAAAGTTAGCTCATAAGGTTAGGATTTCTTAACCTTGTAAACTCTACTTTGGCCATAACTATGGTAGATGTGGGATCTTAAACCAAGGTTGTCAAAAGTGAGTTTAAAGGTTGGAAAGGAGTAGGAGGGTAAGTGGTGAATAGTTACACGACTTATACGAGTCAACTAAAATGCTGAATTATATTTAAACACATACATACATGCATAAAAAACAGAATAAAGAGGAAGTATAACCCTTAAACCACATCAACATGTAATAAAACTTATACTAAAGATTCATAAGGTCTTAATATAACTCAAAAGTCATCATAATGACATAATTTTTTGACTAAAATAAAGAAATGCATAAAACTAAACAGTATAACAAAATAGTAGGTATATTGCAGCAAACACCCAAAAACTAGTTTTTCTTTTGAAAGAACAGCAACCCTTAACTGCACGAAACAGCTGCACACAGCAACAGAGAACTGGAGAAGAAAGAGTAGGTGCAGCAGCTCAGCTGCCCAAAGATAGAAATAAGTAACTAAGAAACCCTAATCCAACAAATGAAAATGAGCAGAAGATGCTTAGAAAATGTCCAGTGTGAGGGGGACCAAGGCAGAGAGTCAAACGTTTCTTTCTGGTTGGGTCGCATAGTTTAGGGTTCATTAAGTGTTAAAAATAGGCTTTTAAAGTGAAACGGGTCACACAACCTGACCCACATGTGGAACTCAATCCAGTGCGTTTTTGGTGCACCATTTCAACAATTCAACAATCTGGAGCTACTATCCAGTCCGCTCGAAGCAGATTTGTGAGTTACAGTGCTGCATGACTCGCTAGGAAACCTGCAACACATTGAATCATATGCTTCAACAAGTTAAAGCGCGGCTTTGACAACCATGCTAAACACACTCTTTCATACTCAAGATTGGAAATTTGGAGTGTGAAAATTGTAGGACTGATTCTTTTCTTTTAATTGCACTGGGGAAACCAGTGGGGACCAGGGACGCTGCACTGGAAAGTTGCGGTGCTAGGTAATTAACAGTGGAAAATCCACGGGGTCAAGTTAATTACTCTAGGAATCTCCATGGGGCAAGTTTTTTTTCTGTTTTTTTTTACAGTCAAGGTTGGTCTAATATTAGATCTTCGATATTAAATTTGGGCTTAGGCCTAACTCAATCTTAAAGGTAGCTTATAAGGTAAGGATTGCCTTAAGCTCTATAACCTCTACTTTGTTCGTAACTGTAGTTGATGTGGAATCTCAACAATTATTTACTTAATTATGAAGAATATTAGTTCCCAACACCAAAGATCAAACTCTCATTCACTTGGTTGTAGAGGTTTTTATACCATATTGACATCTAACTCTCCTAATAGCTTAAGTTATATTAAGTGGAGACTCAATTATGGAATTTATATTTCTAACATAATTTATTAGAAATTGAAGGAACATGATAGAACTGGTACAACAAGGAAAGACAAAAAATGATTGAATTGTATTACTAAGAATTTACACAGTTCTGTACCCAATGTAAGTGCAGACTTTTCATACAATTGCCAGAAATATTCGAGAGATCTTAGCAACTCTCCTACACAGACTTATTCACTTACAAAATGACACCTTAATTCTCCTAACTCAACATCCATCCCTTGTAACTGCCTCCTAATTATGAGCTAACTGATTGTTCTCTAGGTTGGGCCTTAACTTTAACTGGCCTACTCTTCCTTTTCCTATAATATACTCTTTTAATTATGGACTTATTGCTATCAGAACATACTGAGATCTTGATGATAACTGATGTTCTACCATGCTCAGATCATTGTCAGCTTGTGTAAGAATACTTTATTCTTGTAAGTGTTGTTGGGTTGTGGTTACTGGTTTGTTAATAGCTATCATTAATGTGTGGAAAGAAAGTAGTGTTAAGGGATAAACAAGGCAGCGATTTACTGATTTATGCAGGAGACCATATTCTTTCCTGCAATGGGGAGGGGGTTAGTTTAGAATACAATATTTCAAGGATAAAATACTCCGGTGTTCCAAAAATGCCAATCCTCTAGAGCATACATAGGGAGGATGTTAGAACCAAGGCAAAGGAGCAGATGATTGATACCAATAAGAGACCTAAAGTGTGGAAGGTTTATGTTAGGAGGAAGGGTAGAAAGAGTCAGTTGTTAATATTGCTAACTGATACTATAAATAGAGAGTAGTTTCTTGATTAAGGCATGTTCTATCTTGGTTGGTTGTTTGGGGAGAATTGCATTCTCTGTTCAGGAGCTATTAGCTCTAGGGGATTCTTTGCAATCCAGATTCTTTCTAAGTGATCAATAAGATCATCATTTTTCTTCAATCTTTTAATTGATTTCATCTCTGAACCCTAACAGAGGAACACCACCTTGTGCTCTCTAAAAGATGCCGTGGGTAATGCCCTTCATAGAGAAGCAACGATTATTTAGTGTAGGGAATTGAACCTCACTGGATTGGTAGGATTTTAAGTGAGGGATTACTAGTGAGGTTCTTAAGTCACCTTTCCTCCTCATCTTATCTTTTACTTATTCACCATGAATCTCTACCTTTCTCATTTTAAGTGTGCCCTTGCCTCCTACAATCCCAACCAGCACGCCACACTATACTTAGCCTCCATAAATCTGCTACTTACAGATTCCTAGCAATCCCACTTAGCTCTCAGCCCAAACTACTTATTGTCTAACCAAATATTCTTCATGGGTGCCAGTGCCACTTAGGCACCTTTTCATCCAAAAAAGGAGGGTTGCTGGTTCTGTAGCTAGCAAATTAAAATATAACAAGTACTTACAAGAATTGTTAAGTTTTCAAGTTATCTGGATCAGTAGAACTCTTCATGCTCCAAGAAAATATCAGCTTAGCCATGAAAATCCTACAGCGATTAAAATTATAGTAATATTATTGTCTTATTTTAAATCCTGCTAGGAATGTGTTTAGTTATGTGGTTTGAGTTTTGTAATGCCACAAATTTATACATAAAAATAAAACCTTATGTAGATTGTTAAGGTTTAATTTTTCATTGAACATTCATTACACATGTATGTATTCATGGACCTAAAGTTTATCCCTTTATCTTTTGACCAGACATTCTTTATTGCCACACTCTTGGCAATGCAATATGAGAAAGGATTGGTAAGTCTTCTGACTTCTTTTCTTAACATTTGTCTTCCTCCTTCCCCTCTACCAGCTGTCTCTGTGGCACAATCCCATTATTGATGTGATGATATTCAGTTTGCTTTGTTATTGTTTTAATTTTGTTTTCTTCTATACTTCCTGATTATTAGGATTGAAATTACTTTTCACTATGGTTTATTCCCTCTCTATTGTTCTTTATATGGACCAGCAAATTCCAATTTCCCGTATATTGTCACATGAATCTCTACTGTGCTCTAGTATAGGTTTGACCTGCAAGAAATGGCAAGAATGCAACCTCTTATATTAGTGGAGTTTTAGAATGTTTAAACATTTATAAATGGATGGTTAATATATCAGCTTGCAGTAAATTTGTGATTACTGATTAGCTTCCTTGCCAATTGTACCCATACTATACTACTGATAAGATCCTTTTTGTAACCTAGAGTCCTAGACAAATAATTTTACTAAAACATTGTTTCTGTATAAGCCATGCCTGAATCTGCATCTAGTAACCTGTGTAGGTGTACCAGTTATTACATTTCCTTCTTGCACTGTCTAACTTGTTTGTTAATTAATTAATTAGATAGTTTAATCATGAAATAACATATGTTTGATTGGTAATCTAGCCCAATACCCATTTTGGGTTTGTACCTATCCGCATTAATTCTACTTACTGATTATCATAGCTGTATAATTTAATTTTGGAACATAATTTATATATTTAATAGATATTGTATATGTTGACCAGGTCCTATTGGGAGCAATGGGTGCTCTTGCACTAATGTCAATCCTATCTGTTGTAATCGGCCGAATCTTTCAATCGGTGCCTGCTCAGTTCCAGACCAGTGAGTTGTAACCTATTTTTGCATGTCTTTATAGTGAAAGAATTCAATTCACAACATTTTGGGCAATGCATAATACTGAACTACTGATTTAGTATAATATGTTTGATAAACTACACAAACAGATCTTGCAAATGAATTGATATTTTGTGTATGAGCTGGAATTGGAAAATTAGTATATCGCAAGGTTTACAGGTTTAATGAAAGCTAGAGAATAGTTTTTGTCATTAATTTCTTTTTTACATTAGTATGTCTTCTCTAATTATATTTGTCTCTTTTTAATTCTATTTTGACGTGCAGCAGTCTGTACTAACTGTAATTGGCTTTTTAAATTTTGGTATTTAGTGGCTCGTGCTATGTCAGAGACCAAGTCAAAAGGATATGAACTGTATTATTAATGAAGAAGAAAAATACTGCTGAATCAATTCTGCAATACCCAGAGCAAAGCTCCTAAAAAACTTCACACCCTTGTCCACTACTAACAATCAAAAAGCATAACTGACCCATTCTCTCTCTTTCCCCCACCATATAAAACATTACATGTCAATCTGCTCTTTGTAACTAATTTTTCTCTCTAACTCCCATTCTGGCCCTTCTTACTTTTCCTACTATATGTTTTCCAAATTCAAGACCCATGACTGAGTTGGACTGGACTTGTCCACTTAGGTTCATGGGACCTCAAGGCTAACATCTGGAAATTGAGTGGAAATTGTGAGAGCATCTTCCCTAAGTAACATCTTCAGCAGGCTGCCCTTTCCACTTGATTAACCGATAATGAACACCACCCCTTTCTTCTGTTTGTATTGAACTGCAAGAATCTTCTCAGGAACTATGTTTGCAGCCACTTCTAGCTCCAACCCAGTTGGCAAATCATGTGCAGGCTGATAATTTCCCACTGCCTTTTTAAGTTGAGTAATGTGAAAAACAGGGTGGATCCTAGATTAAGGAGGTAGTTTCAGCTGGTAGGCCGCTTTAGCCACCAGTTTTTCAATCTGTTATGGGCTATAGAACCTAGCAGCCAGCTTGGAATTGATCCTCTGGACAACAGTATGCTTCCTGTGAGGCCTTGGTTTGAGGAAAACCCAATCCCCCACCTCAAAAATCTGGAGCTGCCTCTTATCAGCAAATTTCTTGATATGCTATTGGGCCCATTGTAAGTGATATCTCAGTTGTCTGAGAGCATCATCCCTATCAACTAATTCTCTTTCAACTGATTCCACTTTGGTTTCTCCTAAATCATACTTCACCAAAGAAGGGGTTTTCCTAGCATATACAGCTTGAAAAGGGCTGACCCCTGTCGTAGCATGAAAGTGGTATCGTATCACCATTCTGCCCAATGCAACCAACAACTCCAAGTCTTTGGCTGTTCAGAGAAAAAGCAATGTGAATATGTCTCCAAATATCGTATCACCATTCCTTAAACTTGGGCAATCCTCTCTTCTTAAACTAGTTTTTGGGGTTGAGTTAGGTCTAGTCCATTTCTAAGAGAAACATTTGGAATTTTTTATAGAATTGGGAACACTAGGATCTTAGAAAACAGTCCACCTATTTATTCTTCTAAGTATAAGCAAGGAGCCGAGGAGTGTTACGAATGTACTCTCTAACACACTCATTTATTAACTAAATTTTTTGAAAATAACAAAAACATGAGTGAGACTCGTAGTGAAAGTAGGAGTAGAATCTACATAATTTTTGTGATTTTCAATAAATTTCTGTCAATCATAAAAAGTGTGTTGAAAGAATGTGTTAAGAGAGTATGTTGCTAACATTTCTCATTATAGTTGAAAGTTGTTTTAAGTATCTCAGAGTGGAATGCAAGTTACAGTTACCTTGTTCAATGTTGATATGAAATATTTTGCTATTATGGCCCTTCTGAGCTTCCACTACGAGAGACTAAAATTTTATTCATCGGCAGTAAGTAGGTTTTGGCTTTCGTAGTGTCAATCTGTCGTCATTATTCACTGTACATTTTACATTAGATGACAATATTGGAAGTCTGTATGCCATAATTTTCATTCAGTGTTTGTTCAACTTTTGTTCAGCACTACTGGTTTCAGGGGAATTCTGTAGTATTGAATTCTCTTTATACCCTGGCTGAAAGTTGATCTAGATCATTTCTTATGATAGTAACTGATGTTTCTGCTCTGTGTGGTCTACCAACAGCCATACCAATTGGAGCATACGCAGCGGTAGCTCTTCTTTTGTTTTTTGGCCTAAAATCAATAAAAGACGCATGGGATCTTCCATCAGATGTGGTTAAGAAGGGTGATAACAGCATTCCTGAACTTGATGAACTTGCTGAAGCAGAGGAGCTTGTGAAAGAAAAGGTTTGAACCCTATGCATAACCTAGAGGCCTGGACATTTATTCATATATGAATATTTTGGCTAGTTTTATAATACACCCAACTCAGTACAATATGCAAGGCTGGTGGCATAGGTGGTTACATTATTTAATTTTGATATTGCCAATTTTAACTGTCATTTACACCTTTAACCACTTCTTTCCAAAATATTTTTAGGCATCGGATGGGCTTTCAAATCCACTTGAGATTATCTGGAAATCATTCAGCCTTGTATTTTTTGCTGTAAGGCTCCTTTTCTCTTATACTTTCTATTGGGCAACAGCTTAGCATATATGATAGAGATAGACCTCTGGAAGTTTATGTGAGAAGGGATAAGAAGCAAACTGAAAGTCAGTAGCCCTGAATTATTACTGTATGCAGTTATTTAGGAAGTTATAGAATGGTGTGACAGTTAGTGCGAGATTCTGTGTTTGGAGTTTGGGGATGGTTGTTCATTGGGTAGTTTTTCTATTTGCTAAATGCAGAAGGAGACTCCTTGTTAGGGGAAACCCTGTGTTGTCCATGTTTTGTACCACAATTCTGGCCTACAAACCAGACTGTTTCCAGTAATTAATAATTTAATACAAATTTCAGTGTTTACTCAAGTTAACAATATATTTCTGATTGTAAATTCATTACTATAATAAAACAACAGAATATAATGCATTGTGAAAATCTTACAATTTTTTTGCATTTTCTTAAAATGTTCCCACTACTCTCCATAAATATAGGCACCCTCAAATTAAAACTCGGTACTGTTGATCCATGTATTATGTTCAGAAGGCCCAGTCTCACGCTAAATAATTATTTCCTGGTTGAATGTTAAATTTTAAGTTGTTGGTAGTGATCATTAACACTGTATATATAGAATCTGGCAGTTTGTATTGGTTTATGTTTTCAAGCATGAATATTAATCTAGTAACTGAAATTGCATAGGAATGGGGAGATCGCTCAATGCTTGCAACAATTGCACTTGCAGCTGCTCAGGTGAACTTTTAAATTCTGAGATAACTCACAGCTTTTGCGTAACATATTTAACTACAGCAATATCTTATTCTTTTCAGTCTCCTTGGGGTGTGGCAAGTGGAGCCATTGCTGGACACCTACTTGCAACTTCTATTGCTATTCTTGGAGGAGCATTCCTTGCCAACTACATTTCTGAAAAACTGGTATAAGTCATAACTTGATTGAGGATTGAATGCTTGAACATTTTAATTTAGGACAAATTACATTCACACTCCTTATAATAAAATTTTACTCAATACCCCTCTTTTTTTTAGCCTACACAAACATCCCTTAATTTATATAATAACATAACACCGCATACCCCTCTCAATTACACAAACCAACTAAATTTCTTATACAATTATATGAATTAGGAGAGGCTAAAGTAAAGTAGGAAAAGGGAGGAGTATCACGTGAAATTTTGTTAATAATATTCAAAGGCTGTGATTCTAATGTAAGTTCCTTTCTCTTTCTTCAGGTTGGCTACTTGGGTGGAGGGCTGTTTCTAATTTTTGCTGTAGCCACTCTTTTTGGTGTTTTCTGATTCATTGCCACTTGCCTTACTTCTTTTTTATGTGCAATATATTGAAACATCTTCATTTTCTTTATTCAAATAAATAAATTTTTAAGGCAAATGGAAAATGAATTTATTTCTATTCATGAACTCAATAATAAGATAAAGACAAAATTTGTATTTTCCTCTTAAGAAAGCTTATAGCATTCTAATTGGAGTCAAAATTTCCTATGGTAAAATTTTGAAACTTCGAAGTAATTGAATAAAATTTAACTCTGCTTTTAACAAAGCATTTAGTTTATTTCGAGTATATATAAATTTAAGATTTTCACTAAGAACATTTTCAAAATATTCATTCCAACGAAATTAGCTCAAGTATCATAAATTCTAAAATTTGACGTTTAAAATCATTTACAAAATTTAGTCATTACAAGATATAAATTGAATAAAGTAATACATTTTTTCAAATGGTCATAGTTTCTACAGAATAGTTTTTTTTCTAATATCTTTGGATTATAATTCTAGGATGGGTCAGACATTTTTATCTTTTTACTTCATCACCTGAAATTATTAGTAAAGGTGGGTATCTCTCGTTTTACTAAATTTTTGGTTTAGTATCAGTAAAGTACTTACATGTATGTATAATACTAGAAATATTATTTAACATGGATTAAATTAGCAATATCACTTAAATCATCCAAGTTGTCATGATAAGGAGCCTATGCAGGACAAACAATCAATCATGTTTATCACTTCAGATCATGTATCTCTTTACTAATCTAAACGTCATAATACATGTATTATACTACGTCAATCAATATGTCACAACACACGTGTTCTAATCGCACCTGTTGATGTGTTACAACACATATATCATAACAACATCAATTGATATATTATAATGTATATATTATGACTGTATAAAATCTATACTTCAAACACATTACACTTTCGCATTTATTTTAATTTCATTTTTAATACTTCTAGAATCTCTTGAAGACTTTACAGTTTAGACAGTCGCTGGTTAGCCACTACAATACGGATACATGTGTGCCAACTCAGCTTCTTTTAACAAAGGTATAGTCAGAAGTCTCATCAGGAAATGAATATGTGGCCTGTGAATGCTTTTATTTTCAGCAAATCATTGTGCACTTATTCACACTTAGCATTCACCACTCTCATTTTTTCAAATCTTTTCCGGACTTTATACCCCCAATGTATCTCTGTAACTATTTAAATTCACTAACAACATTTTTTCATTCTTTTTCACATCCTTTTTTATAGAGCAACGTGTCATAATACGTGAGTCTGAACCACATAACTTGGTGTATTACCCTTTGGGTCGTACCACATTACCTGTATTGCAATCACATCCATTTATCTATTCCGACTCCCGTATTATAATCACTTTTTCTAGCATTCCATTCAATTCACTCACACGTGTGATCACTGCACGTAGTCACGCTCACTATGTGTTAAGGACCAAAATCTGTGTTCAGGTAATTGAAGAAAAAGAAAATGATATTTTATTGATTATGATAGGAATCAAGATTACAAGAATTCCCCAGAGTCAAAGCTCCTCTCAGAGAATGTTATTTTCCTCTCCCCAGTCTAGTTGAAAAAAAAACCCCTCCATTCCTCAAATTAACATTTAAATAAAGAATAATAAAACAAACCAAATCTGATAACAAAATATCCTAACTGACTTATTCAAATTCAAAACAGCATTCTAATAACAGAATAATAACAGACTTCCTAATTATTGGTTATTGGCTTTCTTCCTACTAGAGTAAACCTGCCACACAGTGGGCCTTGTAGGGCTTTTATTCCAAAGGTCTTCATTGTTGTTTTGGGGTTGGGGTCCCATCACTATGGCACTATGATCACATCACACAGAAAATCCTTTCTTTATTTAAGAACAGTCAAACACTTGCATCAAATCACAGGTTTAGTCATTTGGCATACTTCACTATTAAACAACATATATGATAATTATATCATTATCATGAAAATGTTATCAACCAACTCATTCATTCAAAATACCTTAATATTTTTCATTATAACCTAGTTCAACCAATATCAATATACCACAATCATTAACAAACACTCGACATAGAAAATCCTCAAACAGTTCATACATCACATATTAATATAATGTGCCGAAGGTCGGACACCTTCGGACTCAGCCCAATTGCATAACTTAACTTACACATTTTCTCGATAATAATAAAGTCTTCTGTCCTAAGGTCAAGCATAATCCCTTACTCCAAAAACATTAAATAACATATCTCGACTACTCCTAACAACATTTACTTAGTAGAATCATAATGTTCCTCAAAGACTGTTTTATTTAGAACCTCTATTACAAGTTACCTTTAGATAGTTATCAAAATAGTTAAGGGTTTCTCATTTTAAGCTACCTAAGGGAGATTAGGGTTTGGGATTAACTCCCCTTACCTTGGAATGATGACCCTTCACAAAATTCACGATAGAATAGCTCCCAACACGGATTTTCGTCCCTAAAACATGGAAATTTCCATGAGAAACTGCGAATACAATAAAGAGGGACGAGAAACCGAAAATCCTAACTCATAAACTTACCTCCAAGCGTTCCAAATTCGATTTCAACCTTCAATTTAGCTTCCAAACGGCTTTAGAGACAATTTAATCAGTAAGAACGGGTTGAAAGTAGAAAGAATCGAAAGGATTTCAAAAAGAAGGATGAAAAATGAATTTTCCGAACCTTAAACCCTTAAATACCCCTCTGACCGCGAAACGTTCGCTACAGCCTCGCTGCAGCCACGCTTCTTGTCGCTACAACGAAAATCTCATAGGAAACTGCACTCTGGTTTCTGCAGAATCTCGTTACAGCGAGACTGCACCAAGAAATGCATCCCTCACTATCACTCTCTCTCTACAACAAGAAGGCAACAGTCTCGCGCCTTCCTTTCAGGATCGTCTTGCTACAGCGAGAGCACCTCTGCACTACATACTTAGCCAATTTTCCAAATCAACCAAACCAGCCACATAATTCAGCGCACATACATTCACATGAATAAATCAATATATATATATATACATATATATATATATATATATATATATATATATATATCCTTACAAAATTTGGAGTGTTACATATATCACTGATGGAGATAAAAGGAATAAGTACAACACATGCTCGAATGCAAAACAAATGCAAAGAGAACAAAGACAAGCTCATATTTTAACTTTGTTAAAGATTTCCTTGAGTAGACATTAGGAGCAAATTGCTCACATGGTTAGATAATAAGAAGCATGGAATTTGCCATTAGAGTTAGGTATGAAGAGAAATCAAGGATTTGGCTTCAATCGTAATATTTTGTGATTATTAGTTGCATTAACAGAATTTGAGAATTGATAGTTGTAGAGAGTAGGTTTTACACTGTTGTGGAATGTGCGGTTTGATATTTTTCAACCACTTAGGGGGGCATATGAAAGAGCTCATACAAACTTTATTTAGACATAAAAATAACTTGATCCTTTTATAAGATTTTATTTGTTTATTTATTTCAATAATTTTTATGAAAAGAAGTTTAGTTTGTTAAGTTTCACGATCAAGCTTATAAGCTCTTATTTATGTCACGTGTGCTTTATTCTCTACAGAGCTTTACATAGAAAATACATGCGAATGTTTCATTCCTCACAAAATTTGTCTATTTTCATGAATTTTTGTGAATATTCTTTTAATGTCGCTCTTTGAAATTCAATGAAATTTGTCATCTGACAACTTAGAATTAGAATTTAATAATTCAGTTGCAAATATATGCTCACCTTTCCCAGTTTCAAGAACAAGTGGCCGTAGCAAAATAGTTTTTTAATATTACCAGCACCAAAAATTTCAGTAACGTACATAACATTAGGTGGTTATACTAAAATTATTCCCAATTTTTTATGCAAGGCATTTATACTACATAACAAATTTATCATGGTGATTATCTTTGCTTGAGTTTTTATATGAGAGGAGGGAGTTATAAACCCTTTAAACTTTCTTAATCTCATACTTTTAAGTATTTTTAATTTAGAGAGTTTTGTATTAATCCTCCTTTCACTTCTTTTCCATTCTTCTTTCTTATTTTTCAAAGACTTTTTTTCTCTTTCCAAACTTTCACTAAAGTTTAAATAAATTTGTGCCAATTTAAAAATTACATGTAAAATTATCATATCACTTTATATATTTGTTTGTCTTGGATTTTATGCTAGAATGCATGATTTTTTGTTTTTCATTTTCTTTTGTGACAATCAAGAACGCTTTCACTTATGTTTAAAACATTTTTACATTAAACAAAAAAAGCAAATTATAATTAAAATTTTATTTAGATAGAGTAATTATTTTGGTTTGAAAAAAAGAATCATCTTCAAAATAAAATGGTCAAATTTTATTTTAAGAATAAGTTATCAAAAGATGAGAGAAGTCTTTAAAGAAAGCTTTAGTTGTTATTCAACTTGATGTATTTGAGATGCATTCTTGTAACTCCCTTTATAATTATATAACTTAACTAATTAAACTTAATAAGTTAATAAATATAAATAAATACCAAATATAACAATCACACCTTAGATTACATTTGCTAAAGTTCTATACATACATATATTACACGTTCTAAGTTAGCAAAGGGTTAGAAAAACTGGGAGGAGAGATGTAACAAATTTTTTAGGAATTTTTTAAATATTAATTTTTAAATAATAATAATGACGTGACTGTGATAAATTAAACTTTCATTATCTAACTTATCACTTAGTAAAAAACAGTTAACAATAAAGACTAATTCTAAATATGTTTAAAATGTAGACTAAATCATAACAGTTTTTTAAAAAAACTAATTCCAAAGGGTACTACTTTGATAATAAGGCTATGATAAAAATGTAATTCACAACTTCGTAACCTCATTAACTATATATCATCTCATGATTCAAGAACAATGTACATGCCTGTGTAAACTCTTAATAAAGTTAACACCTTGACACAATTGTAAGATGAGATTAGAAAGAATTCCCACTTAAAGAGTGCATTTTGTCCACTTTTCAGCATTTAAGAACGAAGCAAGGATCTCTAAGCCAACAAACAGCACCCAAATCTGAACATACATGCTAAATTGGCATCCACATTAAATTATAAAAATGCCAATCAGAATTAGCAAAAAGTTAAAATTGCACTAACAGAATACATATCACATACTCATACCTTTCTCGTATAAAGCACCGCCCAAAAAAATCCAAACCCTGAATTTGGTACAAGATTTCCAATAGGCAAGGCACAACACCAAGCAGTTGATTCTTATATAATTCTTCCCAATCCTTTTGAGTTTCTTTCGAGGTCAATGTCTATTCTATTACATTGAGACATCAGACTAGAGTGAGTTCATTCATACATACACTGACGTGATCGGAAAGTGCCATTCGACAGCAATTCAACAATTGCCTTCTCAAGTCGTTGAGAACCTGTACCAGGTCTCAAGATCTTAGCATCACCCCATGTTAAACACGTGCTGTTACCAGGCTCACCTAAACACCATCCACCAGGAACAACTGATCTAGGACTTCGACCCAAAATTTTTTGGTCAATGAGATCTAGCATAGGATCATCTTTCTGGAACTTCTGAGCAAAGGCAGCTCCACTACGAATCATGTCATCAAAATCAGTGGAATTAAGTGGTCTAAGATCATTTCTACGGCTGTCATGAATAGCGTATAATAAATTCTGATTTATAACTGTCCGGTTAAACTGCCGAGAATTACAGAGAACTGTAGGGAAATAGTTGTACAAGGATGATGGTGTGTTCGCAAAATACATCAGTAGGATCCTTGGGAGGTTGTCTTCTCCCAAGATGCAGAACTCCATGAAACTACGACTTAAGATAGAAAAAGATGAACCTGCACAATAAAAGAATAAGTTACATCAACTCCATTTTTTTATTGATAGAAAAGAAAATTTGTTGGTGAGAATATAGACAAGTACAACAAGATCAGGGTAAAATATCCTCCAAATCATTGAAAATAGATAATAAGTAACATGAAAAGCTCAAGAATGCAACAAGGCAGTTAAAGTCTGACCACATCCAAAATAGCACTCCTTTAAAGCAATCATGAACAGAACACTTAAGAGAAGGTAAAAAAATATATACACTATGATGCACAACAGATATTTTGTGACTATAAAATGCCTATAAAATGTACAGATCAAAATTTGGGCATTCAAGTGCAATCACAACAAAAAAGATGGTCACATACATGATGTTTAAATAGACATGTATGTATAATAGAATAAATAACATAAGGAATGAGATCTCCACATTAGAGTGTCAAATGGATGAAGCATTATGAAAATGTTTGTACAAAATAAAATACCTGGATAAGGAAAAAGTGAGAATACAGACAACACCCGTTCAAAGGTGATAAGTTGGACATAAAAATATAATTGAAGGGAAAATGGAAACTATTGCCAACTCAAGGGTCCCTTAAACTCTTCCTTTCATCATGAAAAATATGTAAACTCCAGGAAGAGTAACAAACAGGTGTACATAGCCCCAAACCCCAATAAAAGAGGAGGGGGTAGGTTGATCTATGAAGCCTACCCACCTAGGGGGAAATGGTTTGATTGTGGTAGGAAGATATGCCAACTTTTTGAAAGGGCGCCAATGGCATACCTAGGATCATGACAAGCAGAAGGTGGTCCATCCAGAGGATTGTCCCCAGGGCATTAGTTAACAGGTTCTTTACCCTGCATAGCCTGCATTCCCATTTTGAACACTGGTTTATGATTCTTTTGCAATCTAGATCATAATAGTTACTAGAATTTTATGATTCACAATTCAAATCACACAGTTTGATATAATTTGGCTAGTTAGTGATTTGTATCATGTGATGAATCGTGAATGACTCTGAATCTTGACATATATTGACGAATCAGTGTGATTCCATATCACCAAATTATTTTTAATCGATACACTTTTTCTTTCACAACTTCTTATGAATTCAATTGAAAATTCAAATAAGCTTAAATTGTTAAATGAAAAATAACTAAATGAGAACTACTGAATGTCAAATGCTCTATTTTCATTCTTCAGAAATAAGGGGTTTTGCACCATCACTCACTCATTCAGTGCATTGTATTTGAGCATTGCATTGCTCTTATTCAGTCTTCTGAAATGTAGGGTTAACACAGCTATGATTTATGATTCTGATTCATGTAGTGTGACTCACGATAATTTTTTAGTTTAAAATTATACACTGAGCACTATACATCATTTATCATTTGTATGATATTTTTAAGCTCTTTTTCATTGTCTCTCTAAATCTTATGTTTCAATTGGTTTATGACTCACATTTCAAAAATTAGCTTAACAATTCACAAAATTGCGAATAGATGACCATGATCTATATCATTATGGTAAGCATTCAAGATCATGAAAAGTGGCAAGTTTATTTCTCATATTGCTGCCATGGCTGAAACTTCAATATTACTATTAGAAAGAAGAAGACCAGAAGATAAAAAGACTTTAAGGAATGCAACATTTCAACTTTTGGTTTAAACTCAGAATAGAAAAACAAATGATAATGCAATAAGTGCTCTGTTTCTTAAAAAGTGTTTGGGAAATGAAGTGCATATCAAGAAGATAAAAAAAGCTGGCAATAAATGAGTACATAAGGAAAAACATGATAAAAAATGACAAATTTTATTTACAAAATGATAGAGAAATTAATGAAGATGTTACACATAAAATCTGGTGGTTAAAATGAAGTGCAGTATTAGTAGTTATTTGTAATTGTACTATCAAACTTAAAGGAAATTAATCATATTGTTATATGACTAGTTATCTTATATGGTAGTCAATGTGGACTTTATAGGCATAACATGAGAAAAAAGTGAGAATTGCAAAAATGAGAAGGCTAAAATGGATGAATAGTCCACAAAAAATGACAGAATAAAAAATCATACTCGAAAGAATATTAAAATAGCATCTTTTGAGGAAAAGATGACAGAAAATCAATTAAAATGATTTGGACGTGTAAAGAAGGCCAATGGAGGCATCAATAAGTAGTAGAATGATTAGTTTAGTATAAAGGGATACCTAGAAGAACATTGGAGAAAATTATTAAAAGGGATCTCATTGGATATAAATGTTACTCTCTGTCTATTGCTGATATCTTGTGTTTCATGATGTAACCTTTTTTGAATTTGTTCCCTTTGCATCTTCTATCTCTGAGTATATGTCTTAACTTCTCTAGTCCCCTCACCTATCTTTGTTCACTATTTTCCTCTAGTGGAGCCTCTGTCCACCCTAGATTTACCGCTAGTTCCTTCTCATCCTTTACAGACTGGTCTACCAACATTGACACCATCAATTTGCATCACCACCATCCAACAATGACAATCATTCTAACTCACCTTCAAAGCCAACTCCTTCACTTTCAACAGCCCTGCCTCTTGAGCCTAATCCTTCTATTGCTCTTCATAAAGATATCCATTTTACTCGTAATCCTTCTCCTCACGTTACTTTGAGTTATCACCATTTATCTCCTTTCCTTCATGCTTGTCTCTCTGTTTTTCATTTCTAGTCCTTAATTATGTAGGTGATGCTCTTGCTTATTCTAGTCGGCAACAGCCATGATTGCTGAAATGTTTGCACTACAGCAGATGGTACTTGGGACCTTATTCCTCTTCTACCTGGAATATTGTTGTTGGTTGTAGGTGGGTATACACCATCAAAGGTGTTGACAACAAGGTTGACACACTCAAGGCTCATTTGCTAGCTAAAGGGTACAATCAAATATTTGGGTTGGATTATGGTGACACTTTTGCACTTGTTGCTAAAACACTCCATCAAATTATTCCTCTCTATGGCTGCCATGTGCCATTGGCCTCTCTTAGTTTATATGAAGATTGTGGTTGTATTGAGCTAAAAAATGATGCAGGAATTCATGAGGATTGTAGCCACAACAAATGCTACAATGCAACTAAATATCTGAGTGTGAAAATCATGTCAACTGAATTATGCAATAAAAAACAGCACATTTTCTCCATTAATAATTTGATAATAACCAAACTTCTATCTTCCTTGATCGCTCCTATAACTCTATCCAACAGCTGACCTATGTCTGTTACATACAGAATTTTAGGAAGAGCTATAACTGGGTTAATCTAACTTACCTCGGATATCATGTTCAGCTTGATATGTAATATTATCTCATATTCAGCTACAAGAATCAAATGATGTTGTTAAGAGTTTACTAAAAGCCAATTTTTTAAAATAAATCCATTTAGAGCACGGTCATGTTTTTAAACAATTTCTCCTTGAATGCATTCTAGTCTTCCTCTATCTATTTTAATTGGATTTGATGCTCTTTTCTAATTGGAGCCTTTGTTGGTCTTCTCCTCACATGGCCCACCCACATAATGCAATTTTCTATCACCTTCTTCTCAATATGTGCCACTCCTATTTTATGCTGAAAACATTAGTTCTTGGTCATATTTTTTTTCTAATAACAGTGAAGTCATTCATCACAACATTATCTTCACTGCTGCACTTATCTTTCACTCTTGTTGGCACTGTCTAATCAAATAAAATGAAAAGCCAAAATATGCAGAGACCCAGATACATGACAAGAAAAGCCACACACACCTGTAAACAAACGGTAAGCAGTAGGGAGCTCCCTCTTCTGAGTAGCATAAAACATTTCAGTCCCTTCAGAGAGATACAGGCCAGGATCAACAATAATAGGTTTCAACCTACTTGCCCTACATCATCAAAGGACATGGAAAAACAAGTAGAAGTATCATTATTATAGTTCTATACAACATTAAACACGTTATTATTATAATCCTCTACGCAAAACAAACATTAATGATAACAAAATACAGGAAACACACACAGGAACATTAACTTACTCTTTCCATCCAATATAACTTGAATGGTTCACAAAGTTCATATCTTTAGGCAGAAATGACAATATGTGGAGAAGATCTGACACACCCACAAAAGATTCAAACCATCAAAACACCAAAACACGTTATTATAAGTAACATATTCATTTCATATAAAGTAAAGCATCATTTTAGCCCCTAAAACATATGAATTCTGTCACATTAATCCACTAAAGATAAAATTAAAATTTATATCCCTGAAAAATAAAAAAGTCAATTAATTTAATCCTTTGTTTAATGTCAATCTATTCCCTAAAAACAACCAAATTGATCAAACAATTTCATCTTTCGGGGATTAAAATGGCAATTTCATCTTCTATAGACTAATATATAAACCAACGTCAAATCTTTTAAGAGAGCTTCAATTCACATATAAAGTATAGCCAATTCAAGTTGGCCGGTTCAAGCTTCATCGGGCGGGCCAGTTTTCAGAAAGTATAAAATAAAATCGCTTCCAAAAATTAAATTTTAGAAGTTATTTGCAAATTACTTAGGAAATTTAGTTTTCACTTGCAGAAGGTATTAAATACATTTTCAGAAATTAAATTCCGAAATTCACAATAAAAAAGGGAAATGTAAATAGAAAAAAAGGTTGGCGCAAATAGTAATATCCAAAAATAAAAACCCAAGCCCAACTCGAACCCACATGTGACATTTCAATAGACAAAACTAGCACCAATCCGATGAAAGAAAAGCCCGAGTGGATCAAGCCAAGGCCTGAAAGTTCAAACTCTGTTTTAGCAAACTTAGTCGGGCCAGCGCATTTTACTAGCTCTAGAAAGATGGAACCGAAAAATAGAATTGAGCAGTGCCATACCGTACCATCTTGGGTAACAAGAGGGTACGCATCGGCACTGAGGCTAACGAACCAATCCCAGTTGACCGAAAGGCGAAGTAAAATGGAAGCGGCGTGGAGGTTCAAGGAAACGGGTGAGGACCCTTTGGGGTAAGCGAAATCGGGTTTCCCCATGACGTGGACGTTCTGCGCGGCTCTGAAGATTGGGTTGGACTGGACGGTGAGAGCCACGCGCTCCCGGTCGGCGTGGGGGGCAGAGGGGTCGAGGTGGAGGAGGTAGTGGTTGAGGGGGTGGTAGGTGGCGGAGAGCAAGCGGAGGATCCGAGCCGAATCGGCGTGGGAGCCAGAGATGAGATAAGCGATGGAGGGAGGGGGAGGGTCGTAGATGATGGTTCGGGTGGGGTGGAGAAACGGGTCGGGTCCGGATGGGGGAGGGTGTGAGGAAGAGGAGAGGGAGAGAGAGAGGATGAGTGTGAGGGAGAGGAGGGAGATGGCGAGGACTGTGTAGAGAAGAGTGGGTTTTGATTTTGTGTCTCTGAGGTTGAAGAATGACGGAACTGAGAGGGATGACGGCCAGTGGTGTTGCTGTGTTGGTGGGGATGGAGACGATGAATTTGGGGTTTGCATTTTTTGGTTCCAAAGGGTCACTGTTCGCTCAGATGCTATGCTTTCTTCTTTTTCTACTCAGATCTCTATGCCCTGTTCTTTTTCCTTCTTTAGCATCTCCTCTTGTTTCTCTTCGTTTTATTTTTCACAAAATTCAGAATTGCCTAAATCACCCTGTTTAACATTTTTTTAATTATCGGTTATAAAATTTGTAAATTTTACTCTTTAATTAATAATTTTTACTTTTAATTTCAAAATTCTCAGTCATATTTTAATAAATAATTATCATTTTAAAATATTTAAATAATATATTAGTAAAACTTTTTCAAAATTTTTATAATAAGTTTTTATCAATAATTTTTATTTTTATTTTTCTCTCTCACATGACACATTTTATCACATTTTGCTTTTAAAATTTTTTTTAGATTTAAAATAAAAAAAACTTTAAAAATGCCTTTTCTTCAAAAAATAAATAAAAGTCTTGTTTGTATGAAATATATAAGTTGTGTTAGAGTGAAATCGAAATATAATTTATACATATAAGTTGTCTAAAGTAAAAGTAATCTTGACTTGAGTATAAAGTGAATTAATGATAAGTAGAGGTTTATAAGTCAAGTCAACTTAAGAGTGAGACTTAATATATAGCACAAGTGTGCTAGATAGCTATATAAGCGTATAAATTTTATTCGACTTGTTTTGACAAAAATTTGTAAAAGACCAAATATGATTACAAAAATAAAAGAAAAAAACATAAAAAAAAATATTATGGAGCAACAAAATCTCAATCTTTATGGTGAAAAGGAGCACACCTATGTGGAATTACAAGAGCCTGTAATTTATTTATATTACTAATTAAAATAATTTTTCAAAAATTATATTTGTTATATTCATTTTTGTTTAGATTAGTTTTTTTAGTGTTTATTGAATTTTTTTATAATTTAATATTGTTTTGGTGGTTTAACATACTTTATTTTATTTGATACAACCTATGTGTGTCCTCTGTACTAGGCATAAATTGACAACAATTAAGCAACCTAATTCATTATTGCAACCTTACCTTGAAATTGTTAGATTTTGGTACTTATCCAAGTTAAGTGTTATAACTATGATAGAGCATTTACAGTGTGCTTGTTGAGAGATGGCAACCAAAAACAACATTTGGTTTCCAATTTGGAAAGTGCACAATTACACTTAAAGATGTGGCATTCTAGGGTTGTGAGTAAATGGACTAGTTATTAGTGGATGCACAAATGATTGGACGAGATTTCACAAACATGATATCATGACAATTGTGGTAGGATATGCTTGGAATCGTTCTAGAAAGGAGGAACATGAAAAGAAATTGTGTAAACTTCTATTGGTTTAGTTTAAATTTCCAATAATTGCCCAAAAATACAAACTTGGACACAATATTGTGTTATACTCGGGCATATTGTATGCAAAATACTTTATGACTTATTTTTTATAGACAAATTGGGTGCTACACATAATCTTAAATGGCTACAACATCTAAGTGATTTGCATGAGTGCAAGACACTTAGTTAAGGATCTATAGTTTCAACATTCTTGTATTAGTCATTATATCATGCTTGCAAGTTCAATGTTGTCAAAATTGATGGCTATAAGGCCCTTCTGCAATCTTGAGTTTGGTATAGAATGATTTGTATTCACCCTTCTATAGAATGCTTTGTATGCAACCTTCTGGTCAATTTTTACTTAGGTTTCCACTGGCAACAAGGTAAATATACATAAAAAAAATTAGTTTTATATATGTAAAATATCATGTAATTTCTAATGTGAACATTTTAATAATTGACGATTATATCGAGGTGGAAAGGTTTCAAATGTAATTCAGATACACACAACAATCAACTAGTAGTAGCTAGGATAAAAATTGACATTGTTGGTCTTGAATGGATAAGTAAAGTATAATGACATTTTTTAATATGGTTTAATATTATGTTGATATTATTTTATATGTAATCTCAGTGTAGGTGGAGACTATATAATCACTTAATTGTGAGATGAATTATGTTTGCATTACTGTTTACCACATTGAGGTTAACATGGTTGGCAATACTAGACAGAAGATTGATGGACGACTATAGAGATGAGGAAGGTATATCTTCTGAACTGACAAAATACAAGCTCCCCACCCTGTGAGTTTAAAAGATGATGGACCATTATATGAATGAGGAAGCTACTTTCACTGCTCTTTGCAAGCTAGGAACCAAGTGGGAAAGCAAATAGCATGGGAGGTGCAAATTTCTTCTCAAATCTAGTTTCTTACCTACTCCAAAGATCTGGAGCACATTTGTTCAATGCAACATATTCCTTGCATCTTAAAGAAGTTGTCCATCAACTTAGTGTTAGCAATTACAAATGAGATTATTTACATACCAACAATTAAGAAGATTTATCTTCCATATGGCACTTTGATAGCACAATGTTGCATGAGGTAGGGTGTAAAACTTGAACATTGTATTCATGTGCCAATGCCAAACCAATCACAAAGCCTACATTGAAAAATATGTACAAAGTGCCCAATAGAACCTTCATCCCAACAATGACCATCATCATCCACTCAAAGAACACCTATAGAGAAACTTTAAACTAAAGTAAAGAAATTTCAATATAGTAACAAAAGCATTGTTAGGGGAGTGACCAATATAGAATTGTTGGTTAGGATTATAACAAAGAAGCATGAGATTGATACTTCTTTGGTAGTAGAAGGTATTACAATTGATGAGGAAACGATAAACCTCATCAACTTTATTCAAGATAACAAAGAAGCTCTAATTGAAGTTGAGAGAGAAACATAAGCTTAGGAAAAAACAGATGATGCGGAAAGAGAAGTTAAGGAAGAAGCTGAGCTTGAGGAGGAGAAAGATGCACCAACCACTACATTCATTTTACCTTGCTTATGCTTAATAACATAATAAAATTGTTCTAAGAACTCTATCCACTTAGCATGCCTTTTATTTAATTTCCCTTGACCCTTAAGATACGTTAATGGTTCATGGTTACTATGGATCACAAACTCTTTAGGTAAAAGATAATTTTGTCATGCTTAAAGTGCCTAATCAAAGCATAGAGTTCTTTATCATAAGTGATAAATTCATATTCTACTAGGTTTTTAATTAGTTTTCTATGTTATTTCTTTTTATAAAAAAAGGTGATTTGGAAGTTGAAAACTGCAAAAAAATATATATAATTGTTTAATAAAGTCAATTTTTGTCTTTAGTAACTCAAATTGTTTAGATTTAATAGAATTATGATGTAATTTTATTGTTGAACTAGTTTTGCAGGAGATTCTACACAAAAACACATGAGTTAGAGGCATTAAAAGCGTTGTCACTTTTGGCACAAAAAGTGAACACTTTAAAGGTCTAGAATTCAATTGAGAACCAGGCGTAGCCACTTATGGGAGGAAAAGTAGTCACTCCAAAAGCTTATTATGCAGAATCATCATGTGTGTGGTCACTAATTAGGCAAAAAGTGGACGTTCTAAAGGCTTTATTGAAGAAATGTCATGCGAGTGGCTCCTTTTTGTGCAAAAAGTGAGTGTTCTAGAGTGTTGTTAGCAGAAATGGCCTGCGTGTTCCTCCTTTTCTCACAAAAAGTGACAACGTGTAAGCCTGCTATAAAGAAATGACCTGCACATTACTCCTTTTCTCACAAAAAGTGACAATGCATAAGCCTATTATGAAGAAATGGCCTATGCATTATTCTTTTTCTCATAAATAGTGATAATGCAAAATGTTGTCAGCAAAAATGCCATGCGCATGGCCTGTGTGTGGCTCATTTTTCTACAAAAAGTAACAATACCAAAAGTGCGAGAATGTTATAAATAGCCAGAAACTTGGAATTTTTGGGATCTTTTCTCATTTTTTCTTTTCCACACTCTTAGAGAGTTAGAGAGAGAGAGGATTGAGAGCGAATTTTAAGGCTCAAATCTAAAGGAATTAGGCTTGGAACTTGGATTCATGAAGTTCTTCCTTACCTTCTCTTTTACTCTTTCTTTCTCTCTTTCTTTTAGGAATATGTTCTGATTTCTTTTTGTTAGGGATTTGATGGATCCAATTTTGATATTGTAAATTGATTGTTGATATGGATTTTAAGATCTTGATTGTATTGAACATTTAATTATGTCCATAATGAAATTCTTAGATTAGCTATTCAATTGAATTGAACCTAGAGGATTTTTATAAATGAAAGTTGAGTTAATTTCTCAAATATAAATTGAATGTCAAGGTTATTGATATCTTAGGAATAAGTATTCATAATCTTGTGATCTCTTAGTTTCTAATGTCTAATGCAATATTTGATTGATTTACACCTAAGCAATTAAAGTAGTTAATTGAATATTAGGATCATTGAGTCAAGGAATTGAACTTTGATTAATCTAGTGAACTTGATCATCAATTAATTAAGGAACTTAGAGTTCATATCTAATTCAGTTTAGCACTTAATAAAGAGTTAAAGTCATTCTTAACTTCATTCACATATCATTTCATTACTAAAATTCGCATCTTTGTTTGTTGTTATATTTACATTTTTCTGTACTTTATGACTTGGTTTACACATGCTCAAAACTTCTCAACTTTTGTTTAGCTCAAATAGTTATTAATCTTGTGAAGTGGTAATTAAAAGAACTAATCTTTGAGGATGATACTTAGGACTTAAGCGAATTTTGAATTTATTTTATAACTTGCTACAATTACACTAGTACACTTGCTAGTTAGTGCTATTTGAGCTTGTGATAATAAGTAAGATATTTCAAACATGCCCATTAAGTTTTTCGTTGAGGCTTTGTTTTAGAGTTTGGAAGGAGAGAAAGAGGAAGGGTTTGAACGGAGTAGGAAGGGAAGGGAAGCGGGGAAGGAAGTTAAACTCCTCCCTTATTTGGATGTTTAATATTGAGAAAAGAGAGTGTTAAGGAGTTTAATTATATAAATAATTTTAAAATTAATATTTTTTATTTTTATTTTTTTTAAAAAAATTATCATTTAAAAAACTATAAAAAAAAAGTTAAAATCCAAATAATATGAATGAGTGGGAGAGAGAAAACCCTTCAAAATGGATGAACTCAAAAAATAAGCTTTTAAAGAATTTTGGAGAGCTTA